AATAATAATAATAATAATAATAATAATAATAATAATAATACTTTTTCGGTGAGTATGTGAGAGAGTGTTATTTCGGGGCGTGGGGGTGGGTGTGCGTGTGCCGCGGTGCCAGTGTTTGCGTTGGAGCCGCCAGCAGCGGCTGCGGTGGAGGCGGCGTTTGCACACGCACTTCAGTCCGTCTCGTCGCTGTCGTCGCTGCCCCCGCAGGGTCGCTCGGCCGCGCGTATTTCGGGCCTCCTCCATCCCAAGGGAATTCTTCCTCGCGCTTTTTATTTGGGGCCAGTCGAAATGGATTTCACTCGCTTTGCTGCTGGGGGATGGGGGAGGCCCATGTGGTCATCGCGTCAAATGGGCACATGCACGAGTGCAGTAACAGAATCTGTAACTCGAATATGAGAAGCAAATGTCAAAATTGAATTATGGAGTGTAGTAAGTCAATGAGGATCGAAGTGAACGATTACGTTGAATAAAATTCAAAATATCAAAAAAATTAAGGTAATCGAAGTTTGAATTACCGAAATTTCCACTGTGAACTCATGATATGTAGAATGTGAAGTGGAAAGGAAAAATTATCGAAGTGTCAGTTTCCGAACATCGTATGCCAATAATAATGAATAATTAGAGTTTGAGTAATTGTAATAATAAAATTATTCATAAATTTTCTAAACGAATTTTTAACAAATATAGCAGATACGTGATATTGTTTTATCAAATATGTTTGAATACTTTTTATTCTTACTTGGTTTACTCTATCCTGTGAAACATTTTACTTCACTTCCCTCCAATATACGATTTTGAAGCATATTATTTGTCTTCACTCCATCGTGATAGATTTTTGCTTGAAACTAAGTATGTGTAGCCATGGCGAGATAAGGGACCTAAAGAATAAAAATAACGTGTTTAATTCTTGAACGCGGAATGCCGTTTTGAAATGACACGTACTTTTCCCCTACACTCGCCGTTTCTAGACGCGAAGGGATGTTCCTCTGTGCAGTGGAATGCCGTGTGGAGAATATTGTGGTAATGATGCACGGACATGGTACACCTCACACCGTAAGGCACAAAGTTTCATTTCAATAATCGGCGTTGCATTGCTGCTGCAAGGAACAGGCTCCGCATTTTTAAAAAAATTCCCTCTTCCTGTACTTCAGACTTGAACTTTCGCCCGTTGATATCGCGCCATTTGCTTCAAACTACTATGCCGTTACGTTACTAATTTTCAATATGTGGAGAAATTGATAGACAACTTTGCCACCTACGGCCATGTGAAAGGTATCTACAGTTTCGTTAAATACACAGAAAATTTAAAAATCGGGGAAAATTTAAAAAAAGACAATGGAAGATTTTCGATTTTGACAGAAAAATTCAAATATTAGTCTGTTCTGCCGATTCTCGTACTGCTCATACCGATTTAATTATCATACTCTGTAGATCACGCAAGGTACGAGGAAACGTTGCATGCCATTAAATATTTGATATTCACCTGTCGCCTGTAATAAAAAGACAATTTTTTAAACATTTTCTTCGTTTCTAGGACCGGTTGTTCTGTGCGTTATAACTTTTAATTTATTGCATTTTACGAGAGTATTTTATTTGTGTTTCTTGAGCAGTGTGCGTGCTCTTTTGCGTGTTACTGTTCAGCAGCATGTTTGCAGCTGCAGCGCACCAGCGCGTCCGCAGTGTTGTAGTTGAAGCGCGCGCGTGCGCGTCGGTGGTGCCACAGATCCTGAACCGCACCAACAACATCTTCGAGCTGGTGACGGTGGAGCCGGTGCTGCCGGAGCGGGGCGAGCGGGAGCGCGAGCGCGCGCGCGGCGAGGTGCCGCTGTCGGACGAGGCCGACGCGCCGGGCGACGAGCGCAACCTGCGCCTCAAGGGTGAGCGGCTGCGCGCGCCCCGCCCTCGGGCGCAAGAGGCAGGAAGGCGGTTATTATTGGTGTTTCCTAGAGATTTTGTTTTCCAGACGACCCTTTACGCCATGATGGGATGTACGTTCCCGTTTTCATACATACCATCCCATTTTTTATGAGATGTTTTAAAGATTTGCGTGTTGAAATGGATACTTCTTTCTTTACTCTGTTCTTTGATCAGCTGTATATGAGTTAGTAATTTTGAATCTCTTCCTATCCCTTCCATTTCTTTTTAGTTTCAGATAGAGCAGCAACACCTAAATTTAATGTTTTTTTTTTATTTCTTTAAACACTTCGGATTCCTTTGTAGCCTTGCACATTCCAAGATTTGCGTATGGAAATGGATACTCCTTTCTTTACTCTGTCCTTTAATCAGCTGTATATGAGTTAGTAATTTTGAATCTCTTCCTAACACTTCCATTTCTTTTAGTTTCAGATAGAGCAGCAACATCTAAATTTTATATTTAGATGTTTATAATTTTTAATTATAATTTTTTTTTTATTTCTTTAAACACTTCGGATTACTTTGTGGCCTTGCACATTCCAAGTTTCAAAATTCATATACCTATTTCGAAGATCAAGTCATAGTCGAAAACTGTCATGGTTCCGAGGATTTTTTGATTGGGACTCGTGTACTTAGTCTTTTTCTGAGCGAAGGGGTGCAGGCCCAACATCTCAACACTCGACTTGGAGGACCAGGGATTTTTTCTCGAGATTCCCTTACCCTAACCGTTGATGAGCTCTCATCTTCTGCAAGGTACACGTTGTTTGAGAGTAGATAGGTATCAAAGTCTTCTGCCTCTTCGGCGGTTGGAGAGATGTCAAGCACTTTCGTCAGTCTTCTGAGCCGTTGCCGTCCTCTTCATCACTGGTATTGGTCCACCCCGAGCATTTAATTTCCTCGGTACCAGGCAAGTCTGGCGAGGCATATCCCAATCCGCTACATGGGGAGGCGCCCGGTGGGGGGCCAGCAACCCCACACGGATTCTGATAACTTCTTGAATTACTTAAAAAAGCTTTTGCCCTTGAAAGATTTCCGTAAGTGCCTGTACTAATTCAAACTTATTTGAATAAAAAAATAGGTCGGCAAGCTTTTTATTGCGATCTTGAACAGATATTTTATTTAAAATTAAAATACACTTTGGAGGTATTTCACCGTGGTCTGTTGAACGAACATACTACCTTAGGGGGCCTACCATAAAGCCTAGCCCTCCCATGTTAATTTGGCTGTACGTTTGACCCGTTATCTCCAGCAAATTTACTTACTTTGAATAGTTTTGTAATTTACAGTAAATTTTAAGAAAAACTCTTTTTTTACATTATTTTGTCTGTACTTTTACGCTGAAATCATAGAATACGACGCTACTGTACTCATTTTGCTTATCTTTATCCTTGTTAAATGTTTATTTCCTATCTATTAGTGTATTGCAAGATACTATTATTTTTCTGTTCAGAAATAAGGTGGTATTTTTGTGTTTCATATAATTAATTGACTTAAGTACTGTTAAATCATTATTAATGTTCCCTGTTTCTATACAGTCGTTACCTTAATCTGTATGAGTAGTAGTTCTTTTCCCTATGTATGTGGGCTAGAAATAAAATATGATTTGTACGTTACTTTGATAAAAGATTTGTCAAGGTTTTAGGTGAGTCGCTTTCCTCTTTTGCAGGTTTTACTCTGGGTAATGGTCCCAGCCCAGCATGTAGCCCTTCAAACATACTGATGTAACTTGCTTGTAGCAGAGGTTGGTCGCTTGCTATTAGTGCATGTAAAAAGCGAGAGAAGAAGCAACGCATAAAGTAATTGTGGGAAATACTCCGAAAATGATCTTGAGTTACCTGAATTTATAGTTCGTAGTGCTGTCGGCATCCAATTAAAACTAGCATGACAAAAACACAATACACAATATATACAATTCCCAAACTGGACTGTGGAAGACAACGTGGTTGTGTCATTAAAACCTTGACTTGAACGTTCTGCGTACAGATCAGCACAGTATCTGATAAACCTGCATCATTGACAGAGTTGCCTGTGTTATGTGATGATTGAAAATTACCCACGTATATACACGTTGACTTATAATGCGAGACGAAATGTTCAATTAAAAAGCAAACCACAAAACCTAACCTAAAATAAGTTTTAAATCTCTAAACGATCTGCAGCGATGCGCTAAAGTTTGGCGAGAAAGTGCTTTTACGACATTTTTATACAATTTCTTTCGTAGATAAAATAAAGACATCGTATAGACACCTTTGATGTCTTTGGCTTCATTGATATATGAACCATGTACTAAATATCTAAGGTTTGTAGAGTTCAAGAGTTCTCAACGAGTGAAGATAGTGCATATAAAACTACCTGTAATTAAATAATTATTTCCTTAATATGTTCTTTAATATTCAACCGGAAACACTTCAATATATCAACTAAACACTTTTCTATTCTTGAGTTTCGCAGTTGAGTACACAATTTGTTTCGGAAAATCTGAAAATCACGACGAGCGATCGTATTTTATGACAGTAATAATTTAGTAGCACTCAATCAAAGCGGATTGCCTTCTAAATTATAAAAATGCATTAACCCGTTCGGTAATTGTGTACATACACAGAATTCCACAGTGTCCACGATAAAAGTATAACACTGGTTTTCTGCACGAGGAGAGTTTGCCCTTCGGTTCTTTTAAGTGGATTTACCAACATTGTAATCATTTGGTACGGATCTGCGGGATTCAATTCCTTTAATGTAAACAAATTTCACAAAGTGCAACGCTATGCGACCAATGCGAGTTTAATTCTCCGCGCCATTGTACTGGTACCAATTGAAGGCATCGACATCTATTCCGAAAGCACAGTTTCATTACTGAATTTATTTTCATTCACTTGTTAAAATAAACAAGAAATTTGTCGCTCGGTGTGCGCGAATATAATTACAACAAAAAGTGCGTTTTAAAGCAGCTACAAAACACAAGCGTCACTCACGACAGAAAGCCAGGAGGCGAAATTTCAACCTCTCAATTAACCAGTGAAGATTCGAGAGTAGCTTTGAGAGTCGACGGAGCAAATACAACGCTGTAGGAAAGAGGGTGGATGGATGGGTCGGAGAGAGGGTGGATGGGTGGGGAGAACTTCTCAACCTTTTCGCTTACAATGTAAAATGAAAATTCCTTCCTGGTGCAGCACAATTTACATTCCGCTTTTCTCAGCACCATTTGCAGTTACACGGTAACGTACAGCCCCAGGTAACGCCCGCCTTCTCATATAACACGTATTATGTAGCAGCTCAATTTTCTTACGCGCTGTGCGGAAATTTTAATCACCTTTGCGATTTTACGCGGAGCGTAGAGTGCGCCCTCATCACGTCTTCCCTTTAAAGAGGTCGCCCCGTCCGCTGCTGGGTCGGCTCTCGCTTTAACTGCTGGAGGGAAGTGTGCAGACGTTTGGAATATATCTTAAGAGTACTTTAGAATTAATTTTAAAAGCAAACCTACGTTTTGTTATACTGGAATATATTATAATTTATTTCATAACACAGGTATTACGTTATTATTATAAAATGACCATTAGTAGTTACTACATATTTTTCAAAATAGTTGAAAGAAAATATTTTAAATTTTTTAGATACAGAAACAAATCCATATCCTCTTTGTGAGGAAATTATTTTTTTCTCGCGATGTTTGGGCAACACTGAATAAGAGTGAAATGAGGGCGAAATAGAAAATATTACATTTCCTGTACGTACGGTAAATAAAATAGAAAATTATTACATTTTCTGTTTAACACATATAACACAAATATTTGACTAAAATATACGTACACGCACTAAACAGCTGTTTTCATTCGTAAATCTAGCATTTCATGCTTGGGAAACAAGGATTTCAGCATGGAAAATGGCTCGTATTATTTACTTGTTCCATAAATAACTCGTATTCGGGTTGCTCACAGTTTACAGAATAAAGTAAAAATAGATTTGATCAAGTCAGTGTCTCTGCGATGATATTGACCCTTCTGTCATAAAAATCAATATTTTTGGCGAAATGAGAAAAGTCATTTATACAAGAATTATACAAAGTTACAATGTTACAATACAAAGTTACAATGTTGTATGAGCGGTTTCGTAAGGGGGTCTACTCACGCTTCAGCTGTTGCAATAAACGGTACGAGTATGATAATGATTTCAGGTTAAATGTGAATGAAGCTATCTTTGCTGTTACTTTATTTATTCGATATTGCTCGTTCACAAAGAGCCATTAAATGTTAACCTCATCCCTCTCACAACTTCCCCGGCGTTAGCTGAACTGGATTGAACATGTCACATTGCACAGATGTCAATGAAAACTACAAGAATGAATATATCTACAATAAGGAAATTGGTAATAATACGATGTTGAAAATTGCAACATTGCAGGTGGACCACTAACAGTGTAAATAAAAGAATAAGAAATAAAAAATATATTTTCCAAAAAAATCTGAAATGCAAGTAACTGATATTACCATAAATATTGGAGGGGTTACTTACAAGAACCAAACAAGTTCAAAATTCCATATTTTGAGATATTTCACTCAGCTGTTACCTATAAGTAGCAATATCTGTCGGATTCCTTTCAGTAAGTGCCAAACACATTGCAAGATATAATACGGGGAAAAATCATACTTTCATTTGTATGCACTTGTTCGCTATGAAGTTTACGGAGCCTCGAGTATGGGCCACTTTGGTTCTTGCAAGAAACGCAAGATTTGTTTTGTAGAATGAATAATCTTAATTTCCTCATACCTTGTAGTTACGCATTTTTAATGACTTAAAAACCTCAAATGGTTGATCTGAAAAGATATTATTGTGAACAACTTAGAGATGATATTTATTCGGAAACAGTTTCGAGTCTCCTCACCAGGGTTTGCGTTACGCGCCGTGTCTGCGCAGGGCAGATGATCTACATGGACAACTGGATGATGATGATGTACCTGGGCACGCCCGTGATGCCCGACCTCAACTCGCTGATCGCCACGGGGCTGTACATCAACGACCTGAGCATGCACGACTTCAGCCGCGACCTCATGCTGGCCGGCACGCAGCAGTCGGTGGAGCTGCGGCTGGCGCTGGACCAGGAGCAGCAGAAGAGCAAGAAGCTGGAGGAGAGCATGCGCAAGCTGGACGAGGAGATGCGCCGCACCGACGAGCTGCTCTACCAGATGATCCCGCGCCAGGTGGCCGACCGCCTGCGCCGCGGCGAGAACCCCATTGACACCTGCGAGGTACGTCTCTCTCCCTCCCTCTTTATTTCTTTTATCACTCTTTCTATCTCTCTCTCTTTCTGTCTCTTTCTTTCTTCCTCTTTCGATCTTTCTTCTTTCTTTCTTTCTTCGTTCCTCTTTCGATCTTTCTTCTTTCTTTCTTTCTTTCTTCGTTCCTCTTTCGATCTTTCTTTTTTCTTTCTTTCTTTCTTTCTTTCTTTCTTTCTTCCGCTTTCGATATTTCTTCTTTCTTTCTTTCTTCCTTCCTCTTTCAATCTTTCTTCTGTCTTTCTTTCTTTTTTTATCTTTCCGTCTCTCTTTCTCTTTCGATCTTTCCATCTTCGCCTTTTTCTTACTCTCTTGATCTTTCTTTCACTCTAGATATTTCTCTCTAGATCTGTCTTTCTTTCTCCCTAGAATGTCCTTTCTTTCTCTCTTGATATATCTTTCTCTCGATATTTCTTCCTTTCTCTCTCGATATTTCTTTCTTTCTCTCTCCATATTTCTTTCTTTCTTTCTGTCTCGATCTTTATTTCTCACACACTCGTCTTAGTTATCCAAACTTATTCGGTATTTTTTATTTATTCGCACCTACTGCCTCATAGACTTATTCGAACTTAACTTTCAGAAACTTTCAGCACTTTACATTCACAATTATTCTGTCTCACTTTCTCGCTCACATTCGCTTGGTCTTCTTTGTTCATTTATACTTTTTTCACTCAAACCTAACACTGACTTAACGCATTCGTTCTTCTTCACTTTCACCTTTTGTAATTAAGTGGCGTCTATGGGTGTAGAGAGAAAATGATAGGCTGATAGTTTTAAATTAATTCAGATATAACTGAATACATATTTTCATTAAATTGAATTCAGCATTTGCATCGTCAAATGCATTCCTTTTCATTAAGTAAAATTTCAATGCTTCTTTTGAAGTAATGACCAAGATCACCATAGACAACCACATTTAAATAGCGCAGCCTTCTGATGGTAAGGCCTCCTCCCCTCCTCGTGGTATAAATCGCTCTGGACAGCTCTAAAACCAGAGTTTCGAAGCTCCAGCTTTTAAAATTATATTGAATTGAATTGCCTTATTTTACGTGGCGAGACTCAGGCCATGAGGCCTGCTCTTCCGTCTGACAACGCAAATTTCGTCGTACGCTCTATTCACCCCAACTAGCAGAGAAAGGAGGTATTTCTTGGCGAGAAATAGGCGATTGAATTAGCTCGAGGGGTCCATTTATGGCTTGAGATCTTTGTACATGCAAGTAAATCTAACTAACATAGGGACAACCGCAATTACTTCCCCTCCGAAGGAGGCGTACGAAGGATTTTTTCGCCCTTAAAAATCAACGGCTTCGATCGGGTTTGAACCCGCCAACTTAGGTACCAACTTGGGTACAACTTGAGTTAATCATAACAGTCAGGTACGCTAACGGTAACACCATCGCCGCGCTTTTATGCAAAACATGAAGCCTAGTAAAGGACAGACCTACACTATCATGCATTACATTTGGTTATTTTCAACGAGAAATTGTCGGGTACACGAACTGGCCTCTTATTTTTTGAACGTAGGGAACGTAGTTGTATAGCGTTAAACAGGTCAACGTAATACTGATTGAATGATTTACTATCTGTGCTCAAATTTAGAGCAGAGAGAACTAACTTCCCGCCGATACTTCGCCTTCGCGTTTTTCTTCTCGAGAGCAACGGGTTGCGCGTATCAATGGGTGAGAATTGTTAGCTTAGTATTCTGAATGAACGTTTAGGGGCGATTGCTTATTATTTTGAGAAGATGAAGGGAAAGGAAGGTAAAGGAGGAATACTGAATAACAGCAGAAAAATACACGTGTGACGCTCTTGCGTATCTGTTATAAATCTGAATTCTCTGGTTCCAATTCAGCGATGTGATGTGTAAGGAAAGGTTGTGTCCAATTTGTGCAGAGTTTTCTAGAACTCTGCTTGATTCAATAATTAGTCATAACTATTGCTTCATTAAGCTTTGTTAATATTCAGCAGTGATTTGTTGATACTGATAAGTTGTGCCTATCAATGAAAGAGAGAGTACATTTTCCAGCATTTACCAATGAAAAAGATATGCGCATATGTATATTTCCATAAGCATTTAAAATATTAAAAAATTAAATAAAAATACAAGAAAAATGTACTAAGAACGACGTCGAAAATTAATGAAATGACTGGACACTGAGAGTCAACAAATTGTGCGCAGCATTCGAAACTTTTATTTTGCCAGGGTCCTCGTTTTGACGATGTGCAGTGTTTTATTAGGGAAAGCGACAAGTCCCCATTTCTGTGAAGGCGCTATTTGCCTCGCGTGCAGGCGGAAGCGCCGAAGGCAGCTGAGAGAGCGGCCAATGAATCTCCCTCGCGGGGGTGGGGGGCGCGGGGAAGATAGATTCGCAGCGCGGTGGATGCTGCGTGGAGCGATTTCTGCCTCCGGCGGCACAGCCGCGCTGCGCCGTTGCCCTCGGCCCTTATCTCACTTCCGGCGGCTGCCGAGCCCCTTCGCTCACCCCCTCTTCTTAACTAGAATTTATTATCATGAAAAGGACTGACTGCAGGTTCGTTGAAGTAAAGTGCTATAAAAACGTAACTCTCAATCGAAGGATTTTTAAATGTTTTATAGCGGTACTTTTCTTATATCTTTTAGTGCGGGTGCATAGCCATGACTTCAATACACGGATATTACGGAACTTGTTTAAATAATTTTTTTTCGAAATCGTAGAAAGTAGTAAATACTTTCTTTCTTCGCTGGACAATCGGATACAGGCCTTGGCCGACCAGCGGTGGCCAAGCCTCTCAGCCATGGATTTAGGAGTTTGTGTGGTTAGCACTGAAACATCCCTCCACCGTATACACTGGTATTTCTTAACTTAAGGTTGGGCTTTCTCATCGTCACACAGCAATAGATACTGCGACATTTGTGAAGAAAGCACACAGTTAAAACTAGTCTCGGCCAGAATCGAAACCAGGGTTGCGCCATGGAAAGCGAGCATGCTAACTAAAGCCATGCGAGAGGGTTTTAGTAATATTTTCAATTAAAATAATTTTTCACTGGACATTTGTTTCATCTTTTATTTATTCATTATTACATTCAATTAACTAATGAATGTACATTCTTGAAAAGCAAAAAATATAAAACTGGTCAAGACAAATTAAAGTTGATGGCGATAGCAAGCAATCTAGAGACAAGAAAAAATTTCAATAAAATGTAAAGTACGAATAAATGATTTTCTACTTTAATAATAATTTAGATCAGAGCATTGCTTTCATTAAGCTTTAGGAAAAAATATAAAACAAATGGTTAGAACAGTAGTGAAAATTAGTTCAGGCCAAGGACTTGAAATCGGAGCAGACGAATCAAAAAGGATCAGCAGGACTGCAAGTGGTCGTGGAATGAAAACCTCAGACTGTGTGTGGGTCGCCTTTGTGACACGAAAGCAGCGTGCGCGAGCCCGAGAATCGCGGCGAATTCCGCCCGTGGCCATGCCATAATGCGGCGCGTTGTCTCCGGAGGGCCCATCTCCTTGGGAGCGGGCGCCCGCCGGCCGCGCACGTGGCCTGCCCACCCCGCCTCGCTATTCCGGCTACTCAGCCCCGCCCTCCCCACGACGCCCGCACCCCCCGGCACGCCCCGCCACGCCCGGCCCAGCCCCGCCATTCTCCGCCCCTCCCCGCCACTCTCCGCCAGGCTACACCACGCCACGCGCCGCCCCCTCCACGCCCACACCAGTGCAAAAGGAACTCATATGCTGCGCCGCGCCTCTGCCTTGCCTGCAACTCCGTCGCCCTTGCCCCGCCCACGCCCGTGTCTGCAACACCCGCACTGCCCACCGCTTCCAAAGTTTCGCCGTCACATCTTGCTCCTGCCCCCACTCCCACGCCTTTGTATTCCCAGTTTGACACCCCCGTCTCCGCCTTTGCCACTGCCTTCACCATCTCTACTTCCCCCTTCTCCCTCCACGCCACCGCGCCTCGCCTCCCGGCCCCGCCTCCCGGCCCCGCCTCCCGGCCCACCCCGCCTTTTCGCCCCTGCCCGCCTCCTCGCCCTGCCCGCCTCCTCGCCCCGACCCGGCCTCCCTCGCCCCCCGCCGCCATCCTCGCCCCTCGACCCGCCCCGCCCCGACCCGCCTCCTCGCCCCGACCCGCCCTCCGCCTCCTCGGCCCCGACCCGCCTCCGCCCCTCGGCCCCTACCCGCCTCCGCGCCACCCTCTCCACCACCCCGAGTCCGCCCTCTCCACCACCCGAGTCCGCCCTGCCCGCGAGCGCCGCTTCGCCTATCGACCGACCGACTAGTACTTTTCCGGAGCATCGCCCGGACCTAAACGACGCGGGTGTGGGGCGGGTGGGGGGCGGGCGGCGAAGTTGACGGCGTAGGCGCGTGGACACGCGCAAGGGCTTAAAGGGTGGCGCGACCGAAGAGGAGGGGGCGTGCGTGAGGGAGGCGGAGGCGGCGGAATCAAGGAGGCTGCTATGGCGGTTGGTGGAGGAGGTTTCAAAGGCGCCAGGACTTTTGAAGCGCGACGGCGGGGCAAGGAGGCGCGCTAAACGATGAGCCGTGTGTGGAAAAGGGGGGAGGGAAGACGCGACGTCGCATCGGGTGAGGACGGCGAGGTGACGACAAATGAGACGAAAGAGACTGAGGAGGGGTGGGGCGGGGGGGGACGGCGTTCGGGCGTAATGTGGTAGGTTGCAATGGAAGCAAGGAAGCGGTGGTGACATAGGGCTGTGGGGCAAGACGAGCAGAACATTCGAAAAGGAGCGGCGGATTTGACGGCTGAGGTGACAGAGAGGCGGAGATCGTGGTGACACGAAAGGAGGTGAGTGGGTGAAAGCAGCGGGGAAGGCAGTCGGAGACGCAAAGCAGGAGGAAAGAGAACGTTTCGAAAAGGAGAGAGGAGAAATGGAGAGGAAAATTGAAGAGATAAGTGGAGGAGAAGGGGAAGAGGAGAAAACAAGAGACAGCAAGAAGGAGGAGGCGAGGAGCGAGTAAGAAGAAGAGGAGAGCTGGAGGGGTGAAGAGGAGGGAGAAATTGAACGAGTAGGAGGAAGGGAGGAGGGGAAGGGAAGGAAAAGGGAGAAGGAAGGGAAAGGGCGAAGGCAAAGGGAAGATGTGGGAGGGGGAAGTGGACGGAGGAGGGTGTGGGGCGTGGAGAGG